ATACATGCACAGGTGACTTGAAAAACTGAAATGAAAGGACAAAAAATTGGACTGAAGTCTAATTTTTAAATAATATCTTCTATAATTTTAAATAAACTGCAAATTAGAGACCAAAAAGAACTTAATAAATAGAACAAGATAGTCAGTTAGTTATATAAATATAGAATTATCCAGTATTTTCTGGGTTCACCTGAAAAAGTGATATAATTAAAAGAAAAGAAAAAGCAAAATTTAACAGAATTCAAAAATGGATTTGTCTTTATTGATACTTGGTAAGAAAAAAATCCCCTTCAGCATGAAGTTAAAAAAATTGACTTTATAAGGGTAATGTAACCCAAGGGTACCCAATGGAATAAAGGGACATGCAGGGAATGGGTTCTTATAATTAAGTCCACCAGTTAATTAAAACTGGTTTATTAAACCAAACATTTACATACATAATTAGAGAACTAACATTTAGATAACAATTGAAAGGGATCGGAGTGCATGCACATACGTCCTTACAGTTCCATAGCTTGGCCATCACTGAAGATTGTTCTACTTGCTAGAGGGCGTGAAAGTCTTTCTACTGTTAATATGGAGAAGTCTAAGCAACAAGGGGTTACAACTTTAATAAAAATATCAAGCTAGTGCTTGCAGACATAATATTTTTGATTTTCCATTTACTATGTAGAAGTAGGATTACAAACACATGAACATCTTTTGTTACAATTAAGAATGGTTCTTTTATATAGTTAACATTTTTCTTTCATATACCAAATTCAATAAAAAATAACACTCATTTATATTAAACCAAATTTTTAAATTTTTCAAAATTTCTTAAATTTTTGCACAAAATAAAATAAAATTACAAAACTAAATTTAAAAAAAAAAATTATGCAGGCTAAAAATTAAAACATCATTGAAAGATATCTGAAGTTCTGGTTATTCACTTGCTTAAATTTTTAAAAAATCCATAATCAAGCTTCATTTTAAAAAAAAAAGCAAATTGATACCGCTACCATTTATTATTGATAAAAAAAATATTCTCCCCCAAAAAATTTTTAAGTTATTTTAATTGAAATATGCTTATGGTTGTTTTGAAACACCAGGAAAGCTTTCTAAAACTTTTTGAAGTGATACACTCAATTGAATGGTTACATAAGATAAAAGTAAAACCAACAAACAAGCAAGAGGATTTAAATTTATAAAAAGATAAAAAATCAGAAGCGAAAATTTCATTCTTTCTTTACATTAAAGAATAAATACTGAGAAAAGTTTGAAATTTTTCACTATCTTACTTTTATTATGAAATTTAATTACATTTCTACAAAAGAGAGAATAATTTTTAATATTGTTTTTCTCAAAACAGAAAAGAAAAATAAGAAAATACTCTGTGATTAATCCTTAAATAAATTTTAATAAGTAAAGGATTATTTTATCTTTCTATTAAATGAACAATATTATTTTCCTTCCAATGAATAGTTTACCAATATTGCAAAATTGAACCTAAACTCACAAACCTTGTTTTTGATAGAAAAGAATTTTTAAATTATAAATAATAGTATATTATATTCTTAGAAATTTTAATAATCTATTTTTTCCATGGAAAATAAATTTTTTATTTCAACTCATGGAATTTAATGAAAATATATACACAATAATACCTTGACTTAAGTGAATTTGGAGTTATATGATTTTCAAATCTTGTCGATAAACCTTTTGTTTAAGTTCTACACGATTCGATTACTCACTCCCTGCTTCCTGTTTAGCTAATGTGCATGTTTGGACATATCACAAAGAACTAACATTTTGCCATAAATAATTTTCCTTCTCTTTTTTACAGAGTTAATGTTTGTTATTGCATGTTACAATAGTTATAATGTGTTTGTTATATTTACTCAGAACTGAGAGAGGGCTATGTCATCCAAATGAAATAGAATCCCTGGGCATACAAACAAAGTTTTAAGACCTTCAATCAGAAGATCGAATGACAGTGTGGCGTGGGACTTCAATAGAAGACCTCAGTTTAATTGAAAAAGGATTACAAATTTTAGAAAATATAGACTACAACAAAGAGGATATTTTTTTTTTTCAATAAAACAAGGAACACACAAAAAAAATCATTAGCATGCTATGAGGAAATTTTGTGGAAGAAAAAAAATCTTTGAGTGGGCAGACTACTTTGTTAGATTTTAAGAAAACTTCTGGAGGGATAAAGCATTTTGTATCATCTAATATTTTATTAAACTTTTTTTTCTTTCTAAATTAGTATTTTCTTTCATCTTTGGCCCCAACTAAATATAATTTATATGTATTTATATGCAAAATTATACCCCGATTTAAGCGAATTCAACTCACATGGTTATCACTAAGTCCCCACCTGTTGCGTAAGTTTGGGCTATTATTGTATTAATTTGTATCAATTATATAGTTTTATACATTATGCAAAAAAAGTATGCAACAATCTTAATAACATTCGAATATTCAACAATCTGAAAAATAATTCGAGTATGTATTTCATAAATTTTAAGTAAAATTTGTTATGTTTCATGTTTAAAATGTTAAATATTATCAGAAAAAAAAACATAATTATAAACATTAAATGAAGAATATAAAGAGTAGTTACCTGTTATATAACTAGTATGTTTATTTCTTGCATTTGAAGTTTTAAGTTCTTGTTGGAGCACTAGAGATAAATTAAATTTATAAAATTATTAAATTAAAAAAAGTCAATATAATTTTAAGACATAAAAAAATCATTGATTATAAAAAAAATATTGTATAATAACACACAGAAAAATAAATTTTAAATTAAAAAAATTAAATTAATAACTAATATAAGGATTAATTTCTAAAAGTATCAGCCAAAAAATTAAGCAGATATAATAGAATTAACAAAAACAAGGCTTTGAAATAATATTTTTATTTATTTGCTTTCAGATTCAATAAATTTCAAAGTAGAACACTAAAGCATCACCCATTGAAATATAATATTTTATCATAATAAATTATCTAACTGCTATCCAATAAAAAACTATAGCCCTAAATTAATTTCTGGATAAGATATTTAATACTGCCTTACTTTTGGCAAAGAGCTAAATGTGTCAATGAATTGATGATAGTTATCGTATCAAACCCTATCTCCTTATACAAGCAAACATTTCTATCTATGGTGCTGTTTAAGCAAACATTTTTATGCTGTTTCACTTAATCATATTGACTAAAGAAAGTAATTCAATACATATCAAGGAGCTCTTGCTATAAAGTATTCTCTAAGAAGTCACCAAATTGTTTTGGTAACTTTTGTGAAAAAGTAAAATATAACATAAAAAATTTGATAAATTTTTTTTAAAAAAAAGACAACAAATAAATATATTTGTAAAAGTATCTAAATATTAATCATTGATGATTGAAATTGAGCAAAGTTGTACCTTTAAGTGATTCAAAATGGTAATAAGCAGAAATGAAACCTTAACAATAAATTAAACATAAATAATGAAATTATAAATTAAATATACATACAAAAAAGTAATAGCAATTATTAGTACATATTAAAAAAATTACATTAACCAGCACCATTAGATGTGCAAGTTATTGCTATATTGTGATAAAAGAATTTTAGGTACTTGCATACTATCGCAACAATGCCAACGATCAAGATAGCTTGCAGAATGTTCTGAATTGGCAGCCATGAGCTTTATTTCATATAATGTCACCAATACAAATGCGATAATACGTAAATAAAAATTTATTTAACAGTAAGAAATATTATTTGAATTGATACTAAGAATAACAATAAATAAGTGTAATGAAAATAATGAATTCTAAGAATTCTCACATCCTGAAGTAGCATACTGTAAATATTTCAAATAATGTCTTATCAGTCAAAAATTAAAGAATGAAAGAACAATCTAGGATCTAACGACTATTTGCTAAAATTTCTGGAAGGTTCTCTGCAAATAACTAACCATTTTAGCACCTCAACTTGTGGCAACTGCCCTGGGTATATATATATGTCTTCCCCAAATACGATTCTTTTCTTTGCATTGCTATCAGTAAAACTATTCCAAAGACTTTGGAATGCAACAAAATTACATTGACAGTGTTTGCAAAGGATTTATTTATTTCAGAGAAAAATTTGCTTGGTTATGCCTTTTCTTTCGCTCCAATACACAACATACACATGCGTGTGTGAAAAACAGCGGCACTGGGGAGCAAAACATGTAACTCTTAATCTACAGTTAAAGAGTTACCATAAAATCTGGTGCATAATGGGAACTTTTAACACAAAATATAAGATCAAAATTTAAGGATGCACATTATATGCCGGATATAAAAATAAGAGCTTTAAAAAAAAAAGATGAGCATAGAAAAAAAATTAAGACTTCTACATGTATCGAAATACAGTTTCTTTAAATGAAATGACATTCTTTATGAACTTAAAGGGTTGCAATTATAGAAGTAAACTATTTTTTTTCTAAAGTTTGGAATAATACCTCAAATAAACGACTTCAAAGCACAAGAGCATTGTGCAGATACATTTCAAAATTCTTCACAAAAAAGTGGGTGCATGTTATGTGGCCAAATATACTTAAAGACTAAAAATTGCAGCTTTAAAATATAGGTGCATGTTATACACAGGATTTTAAGGTAATTGAGTAAAGTGTTTGGATTTGAAAGCCTTCCATCTTCTTCTGAGAAGGAAGTGTAGACAGATATTTGCTAAAACCATCTCCAAGCCCCAAAATCAGAATATTTTTCAATTCCTACTATTAGTTCACTCTCTCCCTACATATATATATATAGATTTATATATATATATCTTGCTCAAATTTTCAGTCATTAATAAAATACTTTCTATTGATCCATTCAAGTTCAAATACATTTTTTAAACTTGTAGTGATGTTAATGCAGTTTTTTTAAATAATCATTCATTCATTAAATTAAAAAATAAATAAATAGTAACAAACAAAAACAATAGTTCAACAGCATATATAGAAAGGAAAATCGTTCATTGTGCCCCTGTAGCACAATGGATAGAGTGTTGGACTTCTAATCCAAAGGTCCTGGGTTCGAATCCTACCTGGGATGGCCAAATTTCGGAGAATGTGATTTCTTTTTAGTATACTATTTTATTAGAATAATTAAATTTAATTAATGAATAAATAGTGACAAATAAAAAATAGTCCAATACCATATATAGAAAGTAAAATGAAAATATGCAAGGAAAATTGCTCTCTATTTTGTCACTTAATATTGTGATTCTGTCATACGTATATACATATTTATATTAATTGTAACTATTTAATAAAAAGTAACTAAAATAATTTTTTTTTGTTGACCTAAGTAGGAATGGAGTTAAAATTTTTTTTTTACATTACTTGTTATACTATACTGCCTCTTGAGTTATAGGAGTCATAGGCTGGCAACGTCTTTTCAAGTTATTACCAGCTCATGAATTGGCAATATCTGATAAGAGCATTTGATACACCATGATATAGAATTAACCCAGTTTTTTAAATGTTGCAGTGCTTAGCTATATGGCCCCTATAACAAATAAGCACCAATAATCTTTTTAATTGAAAATGCAGTATGTATAAAACAATAAGGTACATACTACTGCAACAATCGCCAATGTTCAAGATAACTCGCCAAGTTGGCAACCTAACCCAAATTTTGCATGCGTTGTATGCACTGAATTGGCAAACATGTGCTTCATTTCATATAATGTCCCCAATAGGTTGCGATAATATGCAAGTACTAAGAATAGATTTTAATTAGTTACTATGAAATTTTACCTCTTCCTTCTTCGCACTTAAATTTTTCAACTATTTGCTGGGTTTTTTGCAATTTATCAGTACTGATGAAAGGCTTTAATGCTGATATATATCTTTCACATGTTTTATCTAATTCCGGTACAGGAAGACGAGGTAAGCTGTCTTGAAAATGATTTGTTGGGACTATACTCCTTTGCAAGAACTGCTTGAGTTTCCCTGGTAGTCTGTTGAAAATGTATATAAAAAATATTAAAACTTTGTAGAATAAATCAGGAAAAGATTTTTTGGTATTTACCTATTATCACAACAATTGCCAATGTTTAAGATAACTCGTCAAGTTAGCAACCCCAATTTCACACGAGTCGAATGCACTGAATTGGCAATCGTGCTACGTTTCATATGTCTCCAACAGGTTGTGATAAAATGTAAGTACCAGTTTTTTAGATTAGAAAAAAAATAAGATTCAAGAAACATTATTTTTGAATTAAAAGCAAATTTTAAAACATAATAAATACAGATATTTGAATAAATATTAATTCTTAGGATTTGTTACAGAAGAGAAGCTAAAACTGCTTGGTGACAAAAACAGTTCACAAACCGGGTTTGAGCTATAATAGAGCCCAACGCTAAAAGTTAATGTTTATACGTAAATTAAATCACACTTACATGGAACAAAATCTGTATGCAGCTCCATTCCACTGAAACATTAAAAAAATTGCTTAAAATATAAGTTGGTCATAAAATTACAATACAGCTATACAAAATACTGAATAAAAACAGTATGTGAACAAAACTAATTACGGAACACATTAGTCAATCTTATAAAGAGAGGAAAATATTATACAAGGAAATACTTTGAAGAGACAGAAATAAAACATACTCCTGAAATAATGATCAACTTGTCATTTTTACAGAAGAAAGTATTAGAAGAACGAACAGATTTCAAACTGTTAAACATCCTGAATATGAATCCTGAAATTAAAAAAAAAAATGTTCTCTCTAAAATAATCTCGCGTTGGACCTCTATCTGTAAACAAACCGAAACATTATCATGATAGTGACAGATAAAAGGAACAAACAAGGCCGGACGTGTAATGCGCAATTTCGTTGGCAGCAGCAATTCCTATAATCTACAAACAAGGATGGGTTACTTTGATATTTTTGGCCTCTTTTTGAAAATTGCCAAGTTCATCGTTGGCTTAATTGAACCTACTAAAATCATTCTTACTATAGCGCTCGTGCTGAAAGGTTCGTATATAAAATTCTAGCGGGGAGATTTATTGATTAGGTATTTTATAACTTTGAATTATAATGTTTGATTGTTACATTTTTTTGCAGTTTTTATATTGTATCAATTTCCTGTTAAGTTTTCCATCATTTTAACATATTTGCTGATTTATGGAATTTCTAACTTATGTGAACAACTAAAAACTTTGATTCATAATTTTGAATTATTATCATTTTACTCTTTTTATATTGTATTTTTATTTTATTTTGTGCTTTGATTTGATGTAATTAACATTTTCAGTTCATCGACTTTCTAGCTTCTGCCGTGTGAAAGCTCGATTCTCCGATCACGTGAATGGTAAAATTTTATGCTTTGATTATTTATAATGTTTTAATAATCCGTTTTAAAATTTCCAGGTATTTACCATTGTAGGAGATTCATTATTTTTTTAGTTCCTGCTGTGTGATTGCCCACTTGGCCGATCTCGTGAGTGTAAAACGTTTTCTTGTCGTTAAATCGAAAGTTCTATTGATTGTTATGAAAAATTAGCGTAAATATATGAGGTAAATTGTCTTTCTAAATTTTTAAATGATTGTGATAATAATAATAGAAAATACAAATTTTCTGGAGGCCTTCTTGTAAAAGAAGGGTACCCTGCTAGGATCCAACCAAAGGTAATAACACTATTCTTAATAAGAAAATACATTTATTTAATTAAAGTAAGAAAAAAATCATTATTAGAATGTATTATCTATCTCAAAAAATTTTATACGAATCACATGTAAAGATCAACACAATATGTTTAGATTTAACTTTCCCTTAACCTTTTCCATATCATGAGTGAAATTGTAGATTTAGATATTTAACACATTTGCTAACATGTGAAGCTTCCTAGACATATAAAAGAAAAACTAGTTGTAGAAATATCAAAAAGATTCTATATTCCAATTATTAATGGAATATCTTGGTAGAATCACTCTTTATAAAGACTATCACTCTTTATAAAGGGATCAGTGTAATATATATTTTTCAAAGCATAATCAAGCATTTCAACTTGTTTATAAAACTTGTATAGAGTTCATTAAAGCTAATCTTGAAATGGGTATTGAAAAATCTTCAGTATTAGAATATGTATTCGGTTAATAGAAGTTTAATTGTACTTGAATTATAAGGAATGCTTTACTCTGGTGCTCATGTTATTATTAATAAATTAAATACAGGAAATATGTATTGTGTTTCAACATTCTGAGAGAAAGGGTGCCCAGTTAAAAATTAATTGCATTACGCCTTCAATGCACTTGGAAGAAATGATTAAATGATCTTGTTTTCCAATTTTGAAATGCGAAGGGAAATTTCTCTAGTAGCTCATTTGGAAGGAATAAGTTCAATCAGATGTAAACAAATAATGGAAAATTTTAAAATTGCATCGACTGATAAAAAGCCTGCTTTCAATAAATATTTTGATATTTATTGTAATTCAGCCTACTAATACTATAAGTCACATCATCTACTTCTGCATGCCAATACTGATAAAAATATATATTGTTAATCTATATTCACAATACATGAATGTCCAATTATTTTAAAATGAAAATTTAACTGTCAAGCAGATAGTTTGTTGAAAATACAGCATGACACATATAGAATTTTAAATGGCACTCTTCCCAGTTTATATCCTCACAACCTATTTCCATTTCAAAATGAATTGAAGATTCCTGACAGATATTTATGACCAGGCAACAAATTCTTGGTTTGTAAAATCGCAGACTAATGGAGATGTATTTTATGTTGTTAAAAAGATTATGGTAGCATTTCAGAAAGAGGCTATGTGTGTGTGTGATCAATGCCATTACAGGTGTGTAAAATTATAATGTTCGGCTTGGTATACATGTGAATGCTCAGATAATCATGCACCATGTAAACATATTAAGTTCATTCTTTAATTGTTTGAGAGATTCCATGTTGTTGAAAATGCTGAATATACTTCTTTCCATATCTCAGATAGAAAGTGTGGTATGGGGTCTTCCGCCAAAGAAATATGTAATGACATAAGAAAAACCAGGAGACTGAACTTCTACTTGTACTATTAAATAGTTTATTGCAAGGTAAAATAGTTCAGGAACAATTGTCTCAACATGCAATTCAGTAAAAGAAAGGTAAAAAGTAATTACTAAAGAATTATTTACCTGATCCTCATGTACCTACCTCCCAATCAGCATTTAAACTAGCAATAAATATTTAAGCCAACTATTAGTGATTTAAAAATAAAAAGAAAAACTCTGGGATGTTCTTTTTTTAGTTGTCAAGAAAGAAAACATTCAAGCTCAGTCTAGTCAGCATTACTCAATTCAAAAACTATTTGCAAAAAAACTTAACTGTATCTTTAACACCTGATATATGCTTGTAGTGTTGTGTTATGTCTATATCATTCATTCTTAATAAAATTTTAGGCAAAAAAATTGATTTATACTTTTGGAACATATAAATTTAGAAAATACATGTGTACTTTTTGCAGGTAAGTGTTTAAATATAAAATATATAGAATCAGGTGATGTTAATGCTTGCTATCAATACAAGCAAAAGTATATACTAAAGTAAGTAATATGTTTTAACTTATGTGTAAATAATTCTTAATAATTACTGATTCATCCTTTTGATAATATTTGTGCTATTTGTTATACAGGAATAGACCTTGAAAATCTGCCTTGCCTATTTAGAAACAGGTATTTCATCCATATGTTATATTTCATGGGCGATGAGGAAATTGGTACTGAAAGTAATGATATAATGTGATTGTCTTTTTTATGGTATAGATGTACTAATAAGGATTTCTTTATTTTTTTGTCCAGTAATGGACCAGTTTTTGATATACTATTTGTTTTATAAATACTTTAAATAGTTTTAGTTTTTCAGGTTGCTTTATATGTGTTCTGTGTATCAACCAGATAAATGAAGTAAATATTCTTACATCTCTGAAAGTCTTGAATGACTTTTTGATCTTAAAAACTGCTAGATGGAATTTTCAGCTGTGGTGACATATACATTATAATTGCATCACAGTTGTGAAAGACTTTCTAAAGCATTAA